GATCAAGAAGAAGGGTTTTGTCTTCTTATGGGCTAGTACCCCGTGCACAGGAGGCTGCCCGTATCAGAGGCTGCGTGCCCGTGATCCAGCTTATCGCCGAGGGCGGTTGGCTCAGCACTGGAGGCTTCACCGGAAGCTCTGGATAAGCTTGGTCGAGCTTACTAGCTTTGTGCATGCTTGGGCCATTGAGTGGCCGCGTGCTTGTGCTTACTGGTCTTGGCGCCAGACTGAGCATTTTCTTTCCTCACGCCCCTACGTTTTGCACGACGTTCCAGTTGATGGTTGTGCGCTTGATATGCGGGGCCGCGATCATCTTCTGATCGCCAAGCGATGGCGTGTTGTTACCACACACCCAGCAGTCGCTGAGAGCATTCGTGTCTATCGTTGCTCTGGGAAGCATGAGCACTCGAAGGACTTCGACCTCAAGAATACACAGCACTACCCGGTAGAGCTTGTAAAGTCCTTCTTCGAAGCGTTGCGCTCTTGACTTTTTACGAGAGTCTTGTCGTTGTCGAGGACATGTTGCTACATGTTTGCTGCGCAGCCCGTTTGCTCAAACTTTCCGGTGTTTTCTTTCTTTGCCAGGACGTTTAAGATGTCTCTGGCTCCTTTCGCTGCCGAGCGTGCCATGGTGTTTGGCCTGGTTGTGGAAGTGCAAGAGAAGCTTCTCGAAGTTCCGAGTGTAGGGCTTCTCACTGTTGTGCTTGTCCCACTGCTTGTGGGTGTTGCGCTTGGAGTGTGCTTGCAGAAACTGCGTACCGAGAGCTCCCGCGTCCAGACTGTGCAGGACCTTCTTTCGTTTCTGCCAAGGTCGGGCCAGAAGATGGCTGTCTTTACTTCTGCTTACGGAGACTGTTTCCACGTGCGTAGGGACTGCCACGGCCTCAGGAACGCGATTCCGAATCGCATCGCTACTAAAGTGGCGTGCGAGTACTGTTTAAGGGAACTCCACCTGGTACCTCCGACAGCTACTGCGTCGTGGGGGGGTGTAGAAAACCAGTGCTCTGCCCAGTAGTGTTTTAGGTGCGACACAGAGTTTTCCTCGGTACCTGTATAGTTGTACAGTTTTGCTAGTTTCAGGTGGTCAGTGCCTGTAGAACGTAGTTTGAGCTTGCGTGACGGTTTTGCGGTAGCCTCAACCTGTTTTCCCTTGTTTTGTAGTGCTTGGGAGCTTTTAAGAGGTGCCACGACTACTGTCGTTTGGCTCAAGACACGTGAGACCAGCGTGAGCTGTGCGTGCTGAAAGTGTGAACTGTCCGAGTGTTTTGTGAGCTTGCTTTGCTTGCAAGGGTGCTTGGAACTTGTTTGCCTTAAACCTGAAGGGCTGTTCGCCTTGTAGGTTTTTAACGCATGCTCCCTCAGTCACTTGCACTTTAAGAAGTTTTGCCTTTCAGCACCAGTTGAGCCACAATTCTAAAACCGCATTTTTTACGACGAAGCCAGAAAAACCGAAAGCTGGGCTCTACGATCGAGACGCGTGTTTGCACGTGCGTCCGCACAATGTTGAAAAGCTTCAACTCCGCATGTTCTGCGACGAGGCCAGCAAAACTGAAAGGTGGCTACGATGTCCACGTGAGAAAGCGGAGACGGCTGTTTGCACGTGCTCCTTTCACAGATTTTCCAATTGCAATCTTGCTTTGTATGGAGACATGCACCACAAACGTTTCAAATAAATTCGTAATAATAGACACACTCCCGTTGGTTCAGCAGGGTCTTCAAACATGAGAGCATGCCTTTGCCTACAATACAACGATTCTAATTAACGCGGTGGTGAAAACAAAGGCAAGCTAACATGATCTGCAGTAGATTCTTCCTTCTTGGAGCAGAGGCAGAGCCTTCTTTGCTTTCTGCTTGTGGACCCGGATGCAAAGATGCGCAGCGAGCTGTGGTGCTTGGGCAGAGAAAGCCTCCACCGCCTCTTAAGGTGGAAGTACGGAGGCTGCAACTTCAACCCACAGTATGGCGTCAGACGGAGCAATGGTTGGTGAACAGGTTCTAGCGGTGTCGGAGCTTGATGCAGTGCTTCTGGCATCTCATCTTCCATCAGATTCGCAAAGTCTGCTTCAAATCTTCCACAGACAGCTTGCCTGGAAGTGACATAGAACAGTTGCATTCCGCTGGGCTGCAGCACTGTTTTTGGGCGAGCACACAGCTGGACAAGTTCGCCTTCCACAGTCCTCCACCAGACGCTTCCCAAAGTCTTAAAAATCCTAATCAATGACATGGCGCTGACGAGATTCAGCCGTTGCGGGTGGAATCAAACTTGCGATCGCAAAAAAAATGGGGCCGGCTCGCCCCAGAAAAGAGCCGCAAAATGCAGCCAAGCTCCGAGACTGCTTGGCAGTCTCTGTTCAAGGGTCGTGAATTTCTTCATTCTAAGCCTAGTCCAAGCCTGTGTGTTCCAAACTGCCATCAACCAGGGCACTAAAAGCCAAATTTCTTTCGCCTGGACTCCGCTGACGATTCGCCGGAATTGAACTGAGAAGAATGGCAAGCTGGCTCTTTTTGTTGGTCCCGCCGGTGCAAAGTCAACTGCTCAGAACCTGCCGGAGGATTGCGCCTGCGATGTAGTTTGACTGCTGTGGGTCCTATGTGCCGCGGTTCTGAAGGTGCGAGTCTGCCGTTACCGTCCCTTAGCTGTCGTAGAGGACGACATCTACAGGCCAGTGGCAGCCAGGCCTGCGCTATTTTAAGATCTCAGAGTCGGGAGAGCAAGGCAGCGGAAAAGCAGGATGATCTTAGAGACCGTGCTTACCTACCTGTTCACCACGTAAGGACACCACATCCGCGCCCGCGGCGGTCAGCGCTTGGTTCTAGTCAACCCGTCCAACCGGTTGCTCCAATAACTTCCAAAACTTTGTTGGTCTTAGATGCAGGTTTGACTAACGAGATGATAAGCTGCACGCTAACGATGAAGGGCAAACTCTTGGAGGAGCAGGACGAACTCCCGCGGCCGGCCAGTATCAACGATGTGCCGCAGGCAGCAGCAGTGCCTGTTCTCGGCAACAGCTTGCACAGAATCTATTGGCTCCATCAACCTCTGCATGATCGACCGAGCAGGTTCACCGAAAGTGGAAAGCCGCTCGTCAAAGAATTATGGCGCTCTTGCGCAGCACCGGCCCACTTCTGGTTGTCTTGCGGCACTGCTCCGCACTGTGGCTCAAGGCGTCTCCGGCTCAAGAATTCCCAAAGGGAAGCTGGTGAGATGTAGAAGAGGGGAAGGCTGTAACTAGCAGGTTCTTTAGCTTAGAAGCCCTCATCGAGCGCAGTGGGAAGGCCCTTGAAAAGGGCTTCCAATGAAGTGGATTGTGGGCGAAACGGCATCACTGTCAAACGTAAGTTGCGACCTTCTGCACCAGTAAGGAGCTTTGCACTGGGTTGTCTTTCTGACATACGTCAGTCGGCTTTTGGAAGTGCTTGAGACCTGCTAAGCACATCGGACCTGTACAGTTTGAACCCTTGAGCTGTGGGGTTGTGAGTTCGGTTTTGGCTTTGTCGTCTGTTTGAGTGGGTAGTACACTGGGTTGTGTCTCTCTGACACTTACACTGAGAATTGCATTGCTGAAAATGCCGTTTTTCGCGCATCAGTTTCACGTTTTTTTTGTGGTGGAACTGGCAGTGTTTCTGTGTCTGTGCTTTTTGGGTGCAGAAAAACCATTTGCGAACGGTTTCTGGAACAGAAACACTTTTTACGAATGATTTCTGGAGCAGAAAACCATTTGGGGTTTCCAGAAGCAAAAAACCATTTGCAAATGTTTCTGAAAAACTAATTCGTAAACAGTTCTATGGAAGCAGAAAAACTATTTGCAAATGGGATACAAGGCGGCTCTGTTTATGTGAAAAAGTCTGCTTTGACTTGGCTGATACTTTTCTCCTTTGGTTTGCAGAAGGCACTAACCAACTTCCCTCAGAAAGCTGAAAACCCACCCGCTGGACCAGTGTTTGTTCCTTCGCACGATTGAGACGAAAGCTAGTAGGAACTTACACGTTGACCGACCTGCTCTTTGGTGGTGAGCTGCCTCCAAGTTCCAGAAAGCTCTCGACTTTTTCACTTTGGAAAGTGGCGCAGAAGCTCAAAGAGAGAGAGCTTCTAATGTAGTGCGGCAAGCTTGCGCTCACCAAGAAAAGAATCGTTCTTGACTACTGCGACTACTGTATATCGAGAAGGTGATGCCAATCACCGTCCCAAGAAGACACCTCTGATAAGCTCAGCCCGGCTGAGATTTCCAAGGTCAGAGAACTTATTGGGGCACTGCAGTGACGGGCGAGTCTTAGAGTAACCCCTTGCAGATCAGTGAGATGCTCGCCTCATCCACCAACCAAGAAGCAACTTGATGACTGAGCTGAACAAGACCCTGCGGTTTGCCAAGCAAAACACCAATCCCCTCCTCATGGGCAAGCTGCCCTGGGTTTGTCGTTCGAGCCTTGCAGCGGAGAGCCAGGCCTGTGCCTTTGCCCTGGACGAGCTGAGCCGACGACGACACCTCCTACTTCACGCGACTTCGGTGACTCAGCTCTGGTTATCGGCCCTCTACGATGCCGTCCTTAAGAAGAACTTCACCTCCGATGCTTTGCGGTCGAGATCCGTTGTGTTCAAGAGGAGCTGAACTCACTGAGCACCACTTTGAGATGGTGTCTTCGGAGCAGATGCTGGCCGATGGGGCAACAAAGATTTCGGCAAGGAAAGGAATGGCAGATGCAATGTCCACAGGTACTCTGCCCCACCTACGACCAGGACTCGTGGCGGCGAAGAAGAAGACTGTGAAAGTAGATCACTTAGAGTGAAGGCCCTGGTCTGCTGCGGCATGCGAGTGCACTCCTTGACCGCCGTCTTCGGTTGGCTCAAGCACTGCGCGAAACATCACAGCATGCTTTGCACTTGCATCAGCCTGCCTTTACTATCAGATTGGCAGCGGAGCCTTGGCGCTCTTGGGCAGCGAGCCCGATACGTGTTTGGCAGCTACTTTAGCATAAGCCCAGCAAGCTTCCAGCGAGCCGCCATGGCGTCCCTCCTGGAAGGCCTTACATGGCAGAAGTTCACAGAGATCTCCGAGAGCGAAAGCACAGAAGGAAAGTATGGGATACCTCGTTTCGATGGGAGCCTGCACCTACTGCAAGAATACTCCTATAGGGTTCGAATGCGTGCGAAAAAGGAGAAAGAGATGGACCCTGGAGAAGTGAAGAAGCTTGGGCCGCTTGGAATGAGGCTCATCGAGGGCCTCCGTGGCCCGGCGCTCCACATCGTGAAGTCCCTCAAGGATGAAACGATCGTCTCTCCTGAGAAGGGACCCGAGGCCATACTTCAGGCCTTGACAAATGCCTTGAGGCCAAGGCGCCAGCAAGAAGCGAGAGAACTGTACTTGGCAGGTTCCAAGGAGCATGGCATCTTGAGCCGGCAGCATGGCGAGCCAATGTCGACTTACATTCTCCGCCGCCGCAGCTGGTATGCCATGCTCACCGACCTGGACAACGAGATCAAGCTCCCCGAGCTGTTGCTGGCGGAGCAGATTCTTATGAACGCCAACGTGACGGAAGAGCACCAGCTGATGATCAGGACCAGCCTGAATCAGGTGATCTCCGTGGAAGGAATCTGCAATGAGCTTGTGAACCAGCATGGCAACCTGCACCTGCGAGAAAAGCGAACGCCTCAGCCGTGGAAGTTTCGGCCGGGAGGCAAAGGCCACCAACCTTGGAAAGGCAAGTGGAAGAACAGCAGCGGCTACTTTACCGAGGGTGTTGCTGAGGACGCCTGGGAGGACCCGGCAGCAGAAGGCTACTGGGGCCAGGCCGAGCCAGGCTGGGACAGCCACAGCCAGAGCCTGGGAGGATGCGAGGAAGACCTGGGTTCTGGCTACCTCGGTTCCGAAAGCCCCGGCGACTACATGTACCAGGAAGAGGACGACCTCGCGCTCAACGTCTTTGCGGCGATGGTGGCCGAAGGCTTGGACGAGACCGCGGACCAGGAGTCGGCGGAGTATGCATCAGATGTCATCCAGGCCGAGACGGAGGTTTTCTTCGCAAGACAACGTGCCCAGCAGAAGGGCCACGCCGGGTTCTCGGCCGGCAAGCGGTATGAGGTGAGGGGCCAGTTGTCTTTGGAGGAACGCAAGGCCCGAGTGACCGCCCTGAAGAGCCGAACGACGTGCCGAGCGTGCGGTGCCAAAGGGCACTGGAGTGGAGACAGCGCGTGCCCGAAGGGCAAAGGAAAAGGGCGGCCCGGCAGTTCTTCCTCAGCTTCAACCTCGGCCACAAAAGGGCCGAAAGGCAAGGGCAAGGACCCAGGAAAGCACGGCAGCCACAAGCCAAGGACCGTCTACTTTGCGGTGAGAGAGGACGTGGAGGACCAGCCGAACGGGTACATGGCGAGCCGGGGTGACTTCACCAATGTGCCTCCACCTAGTGACCTGGATTCGCCACCCCAGCCTCGGGTGGCTACTTCCCTCGACGGTGTGGCCCCCACTTCGTTGACGGAGATGCTGAATTGGTCCGGTCGGGCCGCGGAAGGGCCGACTTCGAGAGCTACGGCTCCCTCCTTTTCTTTGCCCTCGCCCCGGCCGGTCTCTACGGCAACCTTCCCGACGGCTTCTTCCTCCTCGGCCTCTGCGACGGCATGTTCTCCGCCAACGGCTTCGGCAAGTTCGCAATGGAGCCTTGTGCCGGGAAAGGACTGGGATCATGAGATGCTGTTTGCGGCCCTGCGTGAGAACAGTGACGTTGTGATGGACCAGCTTCTGGCACAAGCTCGGGGATCTGAGCAGCAGACGGCCGGTCCCATGGTGGTCGAGCGCTTGGAGGACATTCCGGAGCCAGAGCTGAGAGCGGTTCCTGTGACGGAGCCCCACGATCTGCCTCTTTACCGTCTGGCTGGTGTCCCTGCTGGAGCGTCTGTTCCTTCAGAAGTGACGGCTGTGATCCCGGTGCCAGCCGCCAAGGAGACAGAGGTCCCCGAGGAAGAGATCACCGTGGAACCGCCCACGGCCGAGCAAAAGGCGTGCAGCCACGATCGCACCACCACGAAAGGCACGAACCGCTACTACTTCATCAAGACGTGCCTTCGTTGCCGACAGGTCCTGGAAAAGACCAAGAAGGAGGTGAGCACAACAGCGGCAGCAAGTCCATCGAAGCCGGTGCTGGAGCAGAACAAGTGCCCGCACGCCAATGTGACACAGGCCGGCACCAATCACCATGTGTGGAAGTGGTACTGCAAGGACTGTGGCCTCCGCAAGGAGAGTGAGAGCACGGCCGCCTCCATGGGCTATGGCGCTTTGGGCAACCGTAACCTTGAGGGCCCAGACACTGAGGCGGTGAAGGTGCTGGAGATGGCGGGCACTGTGGTGATGGTACAAGAGAGCGGCGGCATGCCAGTACCCTTGGATAAGCTCCCGGGCATTGTGGCGAAGTGTGCCGAGATCTACCGCAACAAGAATCCACGAGGCAAGTCTTCGGCACCTCCAATGCCCGCTGTCCAGCCAGCACAGCCAGTGCCCAGCAGACAGCAGATGCAGCCCGGGGCCGCCCAGGCTTCTCAAGAAGCCGCTCGGCCGGCGACGGCGACAGGACTGGCGCAAGACTACGGGATCACCGGCAAGGCCCAGCTGCAAGCCGGCAAGCACAAGGGCCGCACCTTTGAGTACGTGTACCAGGAGTTCCCGGACTATGTGGACTGGATCCTCAGCCAAGGGGGTAATATTCAGGCCGCCTCGCTCCAGAACTTTGAGCGCTATATCCGGGCACGAAGGATTCGCGAACACACGGCCCGCAGCCAGGCGAACATGGCCCTCGAGGATGAGCTTCCGTGCGAGGGCACACTTTTGGCTGTGTTGGACACCGGTTGCAACCAAACGTGCCACGGCGCTCTCTGGATGAAGGAGTACATGAAGGCCTGCGGTTTGCCCTACGAACCCCTCGAAAAGTCCTCTACGGCTTCAAGCTTGAATGGCATCGGGGGAAGGTGAAAGCTTTGGGCCGGAGGACCTTGCACATTGCCATCCAGCTGGCAGACGGAACCCTGGCCACTGGAACCGTGGAGTCGACCGAGCTCGAGGGTTCTACGGCGCCTTTGCTTTTGAGCTGTCGGGCTCAGAAACAGTTGGGTTTTGTGTTAGATTTGGACGAGCACACCGTCTACAGCAAGGTCTTTGGCCAGCACCTGGAGTTGGTTGATCGAGATGGCCTCCCTTCAGTGAGACTGCTTCCTTTGACGCCGGAGGAAGGACCCGAGCATTTCGCCATGATGGCCGGGAGTGACCAAGAAGCTCCCATGGCCGAGGCCGATACCCTGGAAGAGAGCGAGGAGCACGACTATTGGGAACAACAGGGTGATGCCTGGGTCCGGGTCCACTTGCAGAGCAGGAGCCTTCTCTACGATCCGAGGATCGAGCCGAGCCAGGACAATGACATCGAGAAGGCCGTGCTGGAATTGCCGTACAGGAGGACCGTGACCATCAACGTGCAAACTGGAGAGCAGGTCGAGTTCCGAGAGCAATGGCTACAGCAACGGCCCGGGGAATGTGATGTCACGGAGGAGGTCGGCGGCGAGTGGACAGGCTACACCTTTTTCTTTCGAGACGCCACCCACTGCAACAGCGACTCTCGGGAAAATAGCATTCCCTTGGAAGCGGTGAGTTTTGCGACCTTTGACGAGGAGAAGCCGATCAACTTGAGCAGGGCCCAACGACGCCATCTTCAAGAAGGGCGCGAAGGTCTGGAACGTCATGATGCCACCCTCTGGGCCCAACTTGCTTCACGACCAGCACTAAAGGCCCACACAAGCCAACGACTACTGCCAAAAGGGTGCCGGACGCTCCTCTTGGAACTCTTTGCAGGACCTGCTGCCTTGACCACCATAGCAACCGCCATGGGTGTGTGTTGTGCCGGGCCCTGTGACTTGATGAACCACAAGCTCTTGAACCCAGAAGGCCGGCAGGAACTGTGGGACCACATTCAGCACGAGGACCCTTATGTTCTGGCGGTGACCTCTCTTCATGCTCCCTGGGCTTCCTGGACTGCCGACGGACTGGGAGATGGCAGCCCAAAGAGTCACCAAACAACGGCTGAAAGGCGGATGTGGTACCCAGTGATTAGCTGGATCATGGAGTTGACAAAAGACCGGGCGCGTCGAGGCCGAGAAGTTCTACTTGAAGCTCCTTGGGAAAGTTTGTTCTGGCAACTTCGTTGTGTTGAGCGGGCTGTGGGTTTCCGACAGGAAGCCACTCAGGAGCCGATAGACGTGATTCACTACGACCTGTGCTCCTATGGTGCCACCGATTGCCGAACTGGTCTTCCAGTGACCGGCCCAACAGGTATGATGACGACTTCGAAGGCCATCAAGGAGGACCTGGTGAAGCATTGCCCGGGACACCGGCACCATCAGCTCGGAAAGGGGCAGCTGGCAAGATGGCCCCAGGAACTCGGCGAGACCATGATCCATGCTTTGCTTCGCGAGCTGGGTGATCTTAACTGTCCGGCGGTCTTTGCGGCGGAAGAGAACACCGAGGAGCACGAGGAGTTCGGCCTGGTCGACGGCATCCTGAATGACGACGATGTGGGCGGCGATCTTCCTCCTCCCGTGGACCACCAAGAGATGAAGCGAGAAGAGCACCTGGAAGAAGAACAACCTCAAGGACAGCCGCAGTTCGAGCAGGAACGCAAGAAGAAGTGGCTGGCGATTGATCGCAACAAACGGCTGGCAATCAGGAGGTTGCACCATATGACCGGGCACGCCTCCAAAGAAGCTATGGTCCGGATGTTGCGCTCAGCCGGGACTTCAGCCGATGTGGTGGCAGCTTGCCATCATTTTCGCTGCCAGGTGTGCCAAGAACGACAGCAACCACAACGGCCCTCTTCTACTACCACGGCACCACCTTACCGGTTCAACCACCAGTTGATTTGTGATGCTTTCGAGGTGGTGGACGCGGCCGGGCAGAAGCACACCATCTTGAGTTTGGTGGATAGCGGCACAAAGTTCCATGTTGCTGGCCGTGTGGCTCCTGGCGGCACCCCTTCTTCAAAGATTTGTGCCGATTTCATCAACAATGCATGGCTGAGCTGGGCCGGCAATCCCAAGTTCTTTCAGGCCGACCAAGGAGTCCACAACAAAGGGCAGGTGGCCTCCCTCCTTAAAGCCCACGGCGTGGAAATTCGACAAGCAGGACGACAATCCATGGCAAATTGGCCGTGGCGAGCGCCACGGGGGCATCCTGAAGGCCATGGTCAAACGCCTGGTGACAGCCCACCAACTGAGCGGGGAAATGGCAATTTCGTCGGCCGTTACCCAGAGCGCCACCGTGAAGAATGCAATGTACAACCACGACGGCTATGTGCCGGCTCAGTGGGTTCTTGGCCGGCTTCCACATGATGTCACCTCCATCCTGGGCGAGACCACGGTGGAGAATCTTGGCCCACACCAGGAGACCGATGATCCTGAGACCGTGTTTGGGCGAACTATGCAGATTCGCCAGTGGGCCAAGGAGTGCTTCATTTACTTGGATTCGAACCAAAGGATCCGCCGAGCGATGCTGCGACAGGCTCACCCTCAGCGAGGACCCTATCAGAGCGGGGACATTGTCAGTTATTGTCGCCGTGGCCGGTGGTATGGACCTGCCCGAGTGCTCACCCAGGAAGGCAAGAGCTCGCTATGGTTGGTCCATGGTGGGATGACACTCCTGGTGGCAGAGACTTCTCTACGGCCCGCCACCACTGAGGAGATCTACCGAAAGCAAGCTCTTTCTTTGAGGCCCCGGTGGAGCCGCACTCCGGCCAAGCGCAAGTACGAAGATTTCCTTTTGGATGAACAAGAGGACCTCCCTTTTAAGGAGCGGGCTGCCGACTTCGATGGACCAAACCAGGTGCCATACTTTGACTTTGGTCCCACGGCAGCCCCGACCATGGCCACCGAGGCCGAGCCGAGGGCTGAGATCGAGGATGTGGTTCTTACAGAAGCCAACCCCGAAGAAGAGCCGACACGACAGGTGACACAGCCAGAGCAGGAACCTCTTGGACCCGGGCCGGCGACACCACCAACGGAAAGTTCTTCGACATTGCCTACGCCGGGGGGGCCAGAGGAAATAGATGGACTTATGGCGTTTCGTCCAGAACAGGTAGATGAAGTCCGAGATCGTCGCAAAAAGGCAGCCCAGAGGGATTCTCAGCATGCCTTTGCCTTTGTGGGAACCAGAGTGGAGAAGCGCTACCGCAAAAAGGCCGTGAAGCAAGGAGCTGGACGTGAGATTGTGTACAGCAAGGCCAGTCCGGAGATGCAGAAAGGACTGGATGCCGCACGCAGCAAGGAGTGGGCGAATTGGAAGAAGTTCACCAACATGAAGACGCTCACCCGTGCCGAGTTTCAGGAGCTCAAGGACCAGGACCCCACTCTGAGAATTATACCAACAAGGTGGGTCGATGTGGACAAATCGGAGGTCGGGCAGCCGGAGAAGTTGAAATCTCGATTTGTGGTCCGAGGTGATCTTGAAGATGCCAGCGGAATGAGGACGGACTCCCCTACGGGAAGTCAGGTGGCGATGGGGTTCCTTTTGACCTATGCCGCCTCGACGGGCCGCCCTTTGCGATCGGGCGACATCAGTGCCGCTTTCTTGCAAGGCTCGGAACTCAACCGCAAGCTAGTTCTCAGCATGCCAAAAGGGCAGCCGCCTGAAGGGATGCAGGAAGATGATTTGGTGATCGTTTCGACCACTGTGTATGGCACCAAAGATGCCCCACGAGGATGGTTCAAGAAGCTTGACACCACCCTCCAGCAGAACAAGCTGCGCCGCGTTCATTTGGAGCCCGGCTTCTACGTGATGAACAGTGATGACGGCAAGGAGGTGAAAGGGCTGCTTTTGGTTCACGTAGATGATTTGCTGTGGGTTGGTGACAGCGACATGAACGCCGCCATGGAACGGATCCAGCAGGAGTACCGCTTCGGCTCGCTCGACGAGTCTCACTTTAAGTTCTGTGGCAGGTGGCTGAAGCAAGGACCCGACGGAGTGGAAGTCACATGTCCTGATCTCATCTCGAGAGTCAGGCCAATCCACCTGGAGCCGCGTCGCCGAGGCCAACGAGATGCAATGGCGACCGAGAGTGAAAAGTCGCAACTCAGGTCTGTTGTGGGATCGCTCAACTGGCTCGTTCGGGTCTGCCGACCCGACATGGCGTTCTCAGTGGCTCGACTTCAAACGGCGGTGAGCAGGCCGGTGGTTCAGGACCTCCTCGACGCGAACAACCTTGTGAAGTACGCCGCGCGCACCAAGGAGAAGGGCCTCATGTATCCCGCGAAGAAGATCAACTTCAACGACATGGCCCTGATCGCGATCCAAGACGCGTCGTACGCCGCGGATTTTGATGTCAGCGGCTCCGGCAAGAAACTTGGATACCGCAGCCAGTCTGGACGCATTTTGTCTAGCAGATCGAAGCTACCTGGAGAACCTTGATGGACATCTCTTTCCAGTGGAATGGCACTCCACAGTGATCCGCCGTGTGTGCAAGTCTACGCTGCAGGCTGAGAGCCTTTCGCTGCAACTTGGAGCTGCCGAAGGAGAGCACGCCCGCGCTGTGCTCCACGGTCTCTACGAGAAGGTCGGAAAGCTTGACGCCGAACAGTGGACCATAGGGGCTCAGGACCGAACTCCTTTGGTCTGGGTCACGGACTGCATGAGCTTGAAGGAGCACTTGGTGTCTCCGACAGCAAGCTCTGTCAGTGACAAGAGGCTTGCCATCGACTTGAGCAGTTTGAGACAGGAGCTTTGGCGTGAGGAAGGGCAGCTTGTAGGAGACCCTTTGTTTCAAGATTTTCCTCCGCCAGATGCGAAGACTCAGTTGCTCTGGACAAGTACAGATAAGATGCTGGCAGATGCGTTGACAAAGCGCATTGTGGAACATGGTCCACTTATGGACCTCATGAGCGGAAAGTCGCTCAGCCTCCAGCCGACAGCAGACCAGAAAACTAAGACGGGTGTGAAAGTAGATCACTTAGAGTGAAGGCCCTGGTCTGCTGCGGCATGCGAGTGCACTCCTTGACCGCCGTCTTCGGTTGGCTCAAGCACTGCGCGAAACATCACAGCATGCTTTGCACTTGCATCAGCCTGCCTTTACTATCAGAAGACGGTGGTTGAAAGACAACGCTTGGTGGCTGAAGCTTTTGGAGACCCGGCAGATCTCCTACATCCTCTTCGCGACCCAGGTGACGAAGGCCACCGGTGACCTGCGGCACTTCTTCGGTGCTCTCTTTGGAATGGTGGTGTTTTGTGGTCGTTCCTCTACCTCTCCAACGAGCACACCGGCGACCACGGCGACTACCTTCTCAGCGAGCACACCAGCGACTACGGCGTTCCACTACGAGTGCATGGTTCGGGAGCGTGACAATGAGATTGACCCGCTTGCGTCACTACCCGAGCTCATGGATGAGGTCCATGCGACGAGCAGAAGGCTCCCAGAAGCTCGCGCAGCTGCGGCCCCACCTGTTCTTGTACCTGATGGTCAAGTGTTCGTTGCTAAGTACCATACGACGGCTCAGTGCGGCCATAAAGTTGGCCACCGGACAAAAAGCTTTCGTAAGTGCCGTGACTGCCCTTAAAGGGCAAGCGGCCGCGATCGCTGACGAGGCAGAGCCGCCCGTCATTTTTCATTTTTCTCCCCCTGTGTGAAGATCCTGCCAAACTCTGCAGTTCGACTGGGCATGCAAAGCAGCATGCAGCGACATTTCTTCTGTGTCTTGGCATTTCACTGTCAAGAGAGGGACCTGGAGCCAAAATCGCGGCGCTCATGAAAAGTGCTGATTCGTTGCCGAGCTGACTTCATGTGCTGCCGACCGACAAGAGATACGTGTACCAACTCTTGAAGATGCATATATGGGCCACTGCGCAACTCACGATTACGGGCAGCCTGGCCAAGTCTTATGCATGCCATTGTGCGACCCAGATTTTGCGGGGAGCGGGGCCAGTGAGCGCGTAGGCCCGATTGCACTTAATTCATGCTGAACGACTTCGCCGGCTAAGTCTGTATGTCGCAATCGCAGCCACTTGTACAGGTGTTAGTTCTCTTTTATTCCATCTTGTTGTTTCTCACTGGGACCGAGCGCAGCAGCCGCTGTCACCGAGGCCCGCTTACGCCAACAAAAATGCTCTCGAAAGATTTGGTTGACCGTCTTTGTTTCGCGGCCTCATTCGGGCAGTTTACATCAACAGGACTTTCACAGTCCGTCGCATTTGGTCATTCATTGGCCTCACCCACTCAATGCGTTGGCTTTCGCAAGGATGTCCGCATTCGCGATTCCCTTTTTCATTGCTAGCCGGAAATTCCGTCCGTCTCAGGGCCTGGATTCTCCACCATGGAGCTCGTCAAGGATTGATTCATGCGGACGAAATACACATTCTGATTTTGAGCTTACAACCACGACAAGCTGAATCCTTCGTGTATGAGCATTGGATGCTGGGAGCATGTTGAGCATTGGATGCTGGGAGAGTTTTTGGCTTATCGTTGAATTGGGAAAAGACCAAAGTTTTTGCCGATGAGTTGTGATGCCATCCAAGGGCCGAACAGCGCAGTGTGATTTCCGCGTCTGGCTCCATGACTTCAGAGGTGAACTGTCGGCTTGGGATGGCCAAAGCAGATTTCTGTGCATTAAACTAATCATTAAACCACGTTTGGAAGCATGATCATCTGGCATGCGCGAAGAAGCCACAAATCTTCTCGGCTTGTCTGGTTTCCCGCATATGTATTCCCTTCATACAGCTTGGCTATTGAGCCTTTCAAGCCAGCCCGTTGCCTTCGTTCCTTCGACACCACAGTCACTCATCAAACGACTTTGTGTTAGAAGAAGCTGGCATTGAGAAACTTTCATTCATTCTTTGGCGCCGACGCTACTCTTGGGGCGCATCACGCAACTTCCACGGGAGGATGTCATGCAAACATGTATTTTCCATGATGGGACGTTTCAGCCGCGATGGCATGACGGACTTCGGAAGCGGGGTAGACGGGTAGACCCAAACAAACATGGCTTTCAGAAGTTTTTCGCATAGCCTTGGATATGTGCGGCGATCGGCTTAGTTAAAAGACCTTGTTGAACCAAAACTCCAATAGTTTGGTAGCACAAAGTGCTCAAGGGTCATTTCACACTTATGCCACATCAACGAAACAATGGAGTGGCCTTTCATGCCCATGTGTCTCGACACGAGGCTTTGACCTGATCTTTGCGACTGCGGGCACGACGGCTCCCCGTGCACCTGCACGCGGCTGGTCCGGCCGCAGGCGGCCGCTTAGCGCAGTTCCGTCCCCGAGGCCGGCGGCAGGGGGCAACTCGAGCTGCGAAAGCGCGCTGCGCGGCGACACGCGTCCCAGGCCGTGATAGCGGCAGGGCGTAGCGGTTTGGGAACGGCAGCGGGCAGCGGCCCGATGCTGTGCCAAGAGGCGCGGGAACTGCGCCGCTTCGGTGCCGAACCTGTCGCAAGCCGCTTCTTTTGTCAGGCTCCGTGCTCGTTCCAGCACGGGCCGTACCTGCCGCCATCCGGGGGCCCTCTCTGCCTTCTTGTCTCGGTGGTCCGCCTTGTTCTGCATGCTTCGCGCAGCGCAGCATGCAGTCGGCCTTGGGCTCGGGTCTGCCCCTGCTTTGTGGAACGCCAGTAGAAAGGTGCGAAGGGACAAAATAATGTTGCCCAACTTCCCATTCGTCTTCCAGGTGTTATAACAAGCGGAAGCAGGGAGATCTGCGAGCAGGAGGACCCTCTTCGCCGGTCAAAATGCCGCATTGGTCGCAGCATCTCGCAGCCCAAGCTCGCTTCCAGGCGGACGACGACGTGTTCCATTTCTTCGCAACCTTGCGTTGAGCGAGGTCGCCACGCGACATTGTGGCTGACGACCTCCCAGGTGTCCGCGGCATAAGTTCTCACTACGGCCAAACACGGATTTTCGACTTCTGCGACTTTGGGCGGGTCGGGACTCCACGTCGCCTGTGTCATCCGCGACCCGTTTCGCGGCCACATGCATCGCGGAATCACCGATTGCAGCATCCGATGCTCTGAAGGTTAGTCGATTTATGCCACGTGAGTGCAGTTGTTCGACAACCAGGCTAGCTGTGCATTTGTTTGTTGATCGGGTGTGTTCCTAGTTAGCCTGCACACGCATCGCACTGCACTCTGGGTTCGAATTGGAAGGCATGCTGATCACACGCAACGCTCTGCAGATGTTGCACGGCAAGCTCTGTTCAATCCATCATGGATTCCTTAGCTTTTGGGTCTCTCTCGCTCTCGCGCTCTTTCTCTGTCTCTCTCTCTCTCGCTCTTTCTCTTTCTGCTTCTCTGTCTCTCTCTCTGTCTCTCTGTTTCTCTCTCTATCTTTCCCTCTCCCTGTCTCTCTCTCTTTTTCTTGGTCTCGCTCTGTCTATATTCTCTCTCTCTCTCTCTCTGTCGCTCTCTCCACCGCCCGACGCGCGATGTAGTCCCCGTGCAGGTCTCAAAGCTGGATCGGCTACTGGTGGGATGCCGTGCGCGCTCACACCCGGCTGCTAACAAGAGGCAGTGAGGCAGAGTCAGCGAGCATATGTCTCCCTCTCTCTCTCTTTCTCTTTCTCTCTCGCCGCTGCTTTGTTGGTTTTGCCAGACCCATGGCTGGCAGCACCACGCGATGCGGACACGCACCTTGCGCTCTCCCACGCTACGGGGCAGGGCCCCCAAGCTGGGGCATGGCTGACCGCCCTCCGCTTGGATGAAGCACATGCCCTTGCTTGCGGCGCCAGCATGCCGGTTTGCCGCCCTGTGGGGGACCACGCAGTCGCGTGCCCGTACACGGGGCTGCCTGCACGTGCATGGAGCACGCGTGGGTCCGCGGGGCACACGAAGCCATCGGACCCGAAGGACATGTCGTCCCGCAGCGTTGTGGCTCAATGTGACTTACGCAGTTACAGGCAATTACGCACACGATAGTTGCGGGTGTGACGTCGAATGACCGTCGCCGACTGGACATGGTAACTATAGTTGCATGTTGCTAACCTTTCCCCTGCATCTCGCGCGCTGCTGCTGTCGCAAGCTAGACCAGTTGCTCGGCTATATGCCGCTCATGCAATCACCGCATTGCCTATGCGGTACGACCTCGCCATCCCGAGCGCCCTGCCCTCCCGCTCGAGCATGTGCTCGCGGGTGTTTGTCGCGAAGCTGGCGCGCGGGAACGTGCGCCTGGCGGACATGAACCTCGACGTGCGGCGACGAGCGGCGCATCGAGGTTGTCGCGAGGTTGTCGCCAACGTGGCACGGCTCCCATCTTGCCCTCGATGCCACCATCGTGTCGCCTGTCACGGGGCGTGGCCCAACGTCGGGTTGATGTGCAACCGGGCCATTCAATTGAGGCTGCTGCCAGGCGCAACACCGGGAGTTCGACGGAGCGCGCCGCTGCCGGCTTGTTGTAGTTGGCGTCGAGGTCGGCGGGAGGTTCGGTCGCACAAACTGCCTCGCGAGTCGTGCGCGCGGAGCCTGTTGTCCATTGTTTGCAATTGTATTATTTTTTTTTTTTTTTCGCGCCTTTTTGCGTCTGCTCGAAGTGTTCCAACGCCGTCGATACTACCCCTCTGTCCCTAGTGCGTTGCACTATCGGAGCGGCAGCCGACTGGGGGCGCTCGCATCCGCAAGATCAAGCACGTCGCCAAGTGGAAGCACGTCAGGCGCTCCAGGCAGCGGCGGCATGGACCAGACTCCAAGCGCAGAGCTGGCAACGGCTCGCTGCAGGGCTACCGACAGCACACTCCACCAGCGGCGTGCCCAGCCTTGGGCTGCGGAGGCTCGCAACGGCGGCGGGGCTCGTTGGACCCGGAGCCGGAGCAAAGTACGGAGGAACTGCTGACACTCGTCGCTCCAGCGCCCCCCGACTTCAGCAGCGAGGACAACGAGCCGTTGAGGCCCGCCACGGGTGAGCTCCGGGTAGCGCGCGAGTTTGCGTCGTCGCGCCGCAGCAAGTGCGACTCCCGCCCGCGCGTCAGCACCCGAGACGGGGCGACCAGCACGGGTAAGTGGGGACACCAGCGTGGCGTCGCAGCACAAGGCCTCGCCATTATTCGTCGCTCCGTAGACAACGAAGTCGAGGCGGCGACGATCGTCGGCGTGGACTTGCGGCGCAGTAGTGCGCGCAAGCCACTGCTGCGGGACAACCCGACCTTCCGGGCCAACAGCCTCGCGAGCGACCTGGATCCAGGCTCGCTCAACAACGAACCCGCGTTTTGGCAACAAGCCGGTCCGGGGGCAGGCGAGGTGGTGGTCCCCGTAGGCATCGACTTCAGCTCCACAGCCATGGCGGCCTTCCGCGCCGCAGTGCCGGCCTGTTATGGGCAAGCGCAGCCGCAGGCGACGCCTCAGCGCGAGGTGCATGAGGTCGGGCGTGAGTGTAGTCGCCGCATCAGAAGGGATGGCCGCCAGCCACATTCCCGCATGCGGACCGGACTGGGAGTGAAGGAGGGCACGAGCTGAAGGGGTCAAGGCTGGGAGCAAGTCGCGGTCTCGAAAGGAAGTGTGAAGTGCGAGAGCCGCTTGTCGCTGCCAGCCGGGCCCTCCAAGCCCTAGCTCGCCGTCAGTTGTGGGGGCCACGGCGCCTTGAACGCAGGCAGCCCAGTCCGGTCTACGCGCCCAGCCAACGCCAGTGAGCTGGCGTGCTGCGTCGGCGACTGCACGCAGGCACGGCGAGACCGGCTCGCCCTCGAGTTCGCGCACGAGCCTGTCTGCTGCGTCGGGGTATCGTTGGTGCAATACCGGGAGTGCATCTGCCCACGCCGCCCAGTAAGCAGCCGGCGACACCCGCTCAGCCGCGAAGAGGCCGAGCCCCCCGAGGCTCGGCGGCAGAAAAGCGACCTGGCGCGCAGCTGCCCAGTCGTCGCCGTCGCTGGGCCCCGGGTCGCCCAGCAAAGAGGCAACGACGGCCCAGACTGCAGCATCATGAGCGCGAGCATACGGAAGGATGTCTGCAGGAGGGACATTTCGGATCAGATGCTGCGCTCGAGGCGCGGCGCAGAAAGCGAGCAAGAGCCAGGTGCTCTGAAGATCGGGGAGGTGCCGGAGCTTGCTGAGCAGATCGGTCTCAGCTTCAAGGCGGTTGGCGGCCTGAGCTTTAACGAAGTCGGGGTGACCGATGGGCACGCCAAGAGCTACGAAGCCACGCTGCGCCAGGGGCAGGTTGCCACACCAGACGTCTGGGCCCAAGGCTGCGATGCCGGGCGGGGCGTCCCCGCCGGCGGCGTTGTAGACTCGCGTCTTGCCGAGGTTTGCCTCGACCCCGGCGCCTCGCTCGACCTCCTGGGTGACGACGCGAAGCAGTGGCGCTGCGCGCTCCGGTACGGTGACGACGTAGAGGTCGTCCAGGAACGCAGCGAGGCGCTCATCGGGGCAGAGAAGCACTCGCGGCAACGAGCGTGCACTCGCCCATGGCTGTCCCACCACAGGTAAATGGAGGTGCGCGCGTACATGGCTCGGGCAAAGGGCACGAGCGGCGGGACGGTGTCGCGCAACTTGGCGAGTATAGTCGCGCGGCTGATGGTGTCGTAAGCACTGCGCCCGTCGAGGGAAACGACAGTGGTCCTGGGGTCGAGCTCGACAGCGGCACGAAGCATCGCCGCCAAGCTGTCCGTTCCGGCGCGAGTCTGCAGGGCGAACTGGAAGGGCCTGGTGGCAGCATCAAGCTCTCCACCGAACGCGCGTGCAAGCGCACGGGACACGAGACGCCGGAACACGTCCCCGGTGGCGATGCCTCGGACACCCCCGTTTGGTTTACGGAGGGCGGTCAGACGCGAAAGGGCAAGGGCATCGAGCACGATCTGAGGTGCTTCCGCGCGGGCGGCGACATTGGCCGCGAAAGCGAAGGCTTCGAGAGCATCAGCATCATCGAGGAGCAGCTTGTACATATCGACGGTGGCACCAGACAGTCCCGCAGCGGAGCCGCGCTTGGAAGTACGCAACGCCTCCCCAACCTGGTACGTCGACAGGCGAACTTCCGCTGCAGGTTGGAACTGAAGGACGTCGGGGGCCGGCTCGCACAGCGCGGGCGCCGAGCCGGGTCCGTCAACGCCCGCAGCGTATCCGCATTCCCGGGGGCGAGGGCCGCCGCAGTGAGAGTCTGACGCACGCGAGACAACTCGCCACGTCTGACTTTGGCGCAGGCGGCAGCTGCGCGGGTTTCCTCGCTGTCCTGGCCCCCACGCCGGGGCCTCGCTAGCGCGCGGGCGGGCGTGCAACGCCTCGAAGCGGCTCTGGCGGAACAGCTCGATCCGGTGGACAAGCGCTGCACGGCCCTCGGACCCGGAATGAGCGGAGCGCGCAAGGAGCAATCGCGGCAAGAGGAGGAAGAGCTTCCACGCCCGGACTCGCGCTGCCTCATCACGACCTTCCTGTGCAGCGCGGATCGCCTCAAGCGCAATCACGAGTGCTTGTCGCACACCAGCGATGAGGAACCGGGGCACAGTTTGGAGGGTGGGAACGGGGTTTCGAAACTCTGCGAGGAGGTCGATATCATCAAGCCAGCGCGCAGCCTCGCGGGTGAGAGCAGCGGCGGTGCTAGCAAGAGCTGGAGGCGGGGCCGCCGCTGTGTCCTCAGCCCCGTCGCTGGCTGAAGCAGCGTGGTCCGCCTCCTGCTCTGGCTGGCCAGGCGCCGAAGTGGCCGCGCCCCTGCCTCTGCCGCGGCCGCCACGCCGTCTGCGCGGGGCTCCGGTGAGGTGGTGACCGTGTGCGCCTTGTGGTGCTTCGGGGGCGGGTGCGGCCGCCGCTTGCGGTGGTGGCCCACGCGGTTGGTGGCGAAAGCGGTCGGAGTGGCGATCAACCGCGAGGGCGAGGACTTGGCCTCCGTAACATTCGAGTAACGCTTCCTGGACAGGGGCGAGCAGGTAGCCGTCTGACTCACACAACTGGCGGACTGCCCAACCGACATGGACGAGTGCGTTGTTGGGGAGCCCCGCGCGCTCCAAGCGCGAAAGAAGGTCCGGCGAATGATGAACATGCTCCGGTGCTGCCTCGGTAGCGCGCCTCACCGCCTCCGCGAGCACACGGGGTGCCACTGGGCTAGAGGTAGCCAACTGCTGTCGGGCTGGCTCCCACCAGTCAGCAGCGCGCGAGTCGGCACGCCAAGCCTCTACATCCTCTACAGCGTGGGAGGTGAGGTCGGACGCGGCGGCTTGTAGCAAGGGGACATACAGCCAGGAGTTAGTGGCCTCTTGCACGTGACCTACAGGCGGGCCCCTCGAAAGCCAGTACGCAGGCCTCCCAGCCGCGGGGCACGCGGTGACCTCGCCGGGCTGCGTGGGTGGATCGAGCGGTGCTTGCGGTGCGGGTGGGCGGGCCGGGCCATCGCAACCTGGCGCACAGCTGAACCGCCCATGCCCTGTGTGGCGGTCGTACTCCCACTGCAACATGCCTCCGCATCGGCTACACGGCAGTCCGGCATCCGCCGGGACGTCGAGGTCAACGAGCAGAAGTTCCTGCGCGCAGGCCGGGCAAACCCAGCCCGGTTGCCATGCGGCAATGCCGGCTGCGTGGCGGACGGGGACAGGCGCCCAACGCATGTCACGCTGCGGCAGCTGGACGAAGTCGACACCGCCAGGACCGCCCAGGGCCGCAACGTGATTGCAGCATAACACTGTCACCCCCGGCGGAGGCGGTGGTTCAGGGGCATCATTAGTTGTGAAAGTCCGCAGTGCATAGTCCCGCACGGCCCCCTGCACGGTATCCTCGCCGGTTCGCCGCGACGGCATGGGGACACCCTCACGTTCGCAGGCCGCGCGGACATCTGCATCATGCCGGGCGGTCCAGCCACCCGGGTCGCACTCCGGGCAGCGGCTATGCCGACACAACGGGCATAGCAGCTCAGACGGTCGGGAAGCTTGGACGCGGAACTGGGCAAGGCAGGCTACGTGCATGCGATGCCGGGCACAGGTAGGGAAAGGCACGGCCGCGTGCTCACCGGAGCGGGGCAGGCGGAAGGCCTCGAGGCACACACAGCAAAGACCCTCGGGTGCCTCCTGCGGCGCGAGGGGAGCGGCTTCGCGCCGGGGAGGGGGCCGCTGGCGGGGGGGTGGCAGAGCGAGGGCGCAGCCGCGGACGCCACACGTGTTCGCTGGAAGAGTAGCTGGCAGGGCTAGGGTGCCTGCAAGGTGGCGGCGAGGCCCGGTCCGACTCGTTGCCTCCAGGGCTGCAGGGGGAGGCAACCGGGGAAAGGCTGGGCGGGGGAGCCTGGTCCGTGTCGTTGCCACCAAAGCTGTGGGGGGAGGGCGGGGACAGGCGGTTGCCGGGGCAGTCAGCAGGCTGCCAAGTACCTGCAGCACGTGCCACGTCGGCCTGGAAGAGCACGAAAAGGCCTCGAGTTTGGTCGAGGACGGCGTCTAGCTGTACTCCACCAAGGGTCAAACACACACGGTCCATGCGGCGGCGTATCAGGCTAGCTAAAGAGAGGAGGCCCGACTAACACTTGAGCCAAAATGGCTTGAGCCAAAATGGCTTGAGCCAAAATGGTATTTTATTTTTCTCTCCCTCACCCTTCTACAACAGCACCAGAAGTCTTGACAGCAGATGATTGCAAACACCGGCCCAATTCATCACGATCATCTTGCAGAGTCGAAATGATGTCGAATTTTTGTTCATTGCTTTGTGTTTCTGCATAGGTTTCGCAGTACCTGGTGGCACACTTAAGTAGACGGCATGCTTGCAAATGTTTTGCGATCCTGGGCAGTTCCAGTACCCATGGGCTGATGCCGCGCGAAAACAGGACCATACGACGTCCTGCTGCACAGCTAAAAAGGAGGCAAGGCTGGCATGGATCCATGCATTGTGGGCATGTGTTGTCAAATGTTGCCAGCAAGGCCTGCGGCCGCGACGATGTGTTCGTCAATATCTTATGAACTGCCACGTGCTGTCGTCGTGAATTTGCCCCGCAGGCTAGGCCAATTTACAGCACGCAATGCCAGGCCGTTGTTTTACCGAGAGTTGTCCTCCCAGGGCGGACCGTTGGCGGGAAGTGCGGCAGCGATTGGATGGAATTGAAGGCCTGCTTCATCGGTTCGCGGCATGTGCTGAGTTGGGTCGGTCGTTCCACGTGTTGAGTTTCAGTGCTGGAGCATGTCGGAGCCAGGTTTGAAGTTTGACAGGATGCAAGCCGTGGACGGCCAGAAAGAACAAATTCACACCCGCTTCTTGGCGAAACATCAGCCGCGTGTCGATCGTACTTTGGCATTCTTAAGAACTTGGGCTTTGAATTTGGCATTTTACTACATTTACGCGAGCAGGCATGAACACGTGAACATGCGCATGCTTGCTCCGAAATGATTATCGCAGGAGAAGTAACGAAAACATGGTCTACTGCAAAGAACTGGCATTATGTGACGAGGCCGCCAGTCTTTGAAAATGATGTGTGGGTTCACTCTTGGATAACTTTGGCGAGTGTGGAGACCGCCGTCTGAGAGAGCTGAAAGGGGACAGAAAGGAGGGGAGGCAACTTACCCTGTTCAGCTTTGCTGCCGAGCCAACATTCTCGCGAGCAAGCAGGGGAAATCCCATTGCGCCCAGTCAATGAGCGCTGTTGTTTGCATTGGCAACAGTTGTGCGCGGAATGATCGAAGATGCGTTTTTCAGTACCCATTTCAAGCATGCTTTGTGATGTTTGCCTACACAGGATGTGGTGGCTGTTCCACTGGTGAGGAGTGGGCGAAAGCACGCCAACGCGTCTCCTTCGTGAATGGTGGGTGGAAATTATATGCGTAGCAGCACCCGAAGACAGCAAAGAAAATCCACGCTTTGGTGAGGGCGCATGTTTTCCCTGAATTCGCTGCCCGTGGTGATGAAGAGGACCAGACAGAGCGAATATTTGAGATGGAGGGATGCAAAGGCGGGAAAAACAGCCGTGGCAACAGGATATGGGCCCTGAGACAAAACAGACGTGTTTACTTATGTTGTCGATCTTGTGTCCTTGTCCACTGCAAACCAGGGCCTTCGAGGGGGGAGCAGAATGTGGATACACAGTCAAGGACCGACCTAATTGCAGGATGTTGGATGTAGTGTACTGGTTGTACAGGTGATGCAAACCAACACTGCAGCTCTTGAAACAGATTGAACAATCAATTCACAGGAGCTATGCCTCAGCGAAGGAGAGCGTGGCTGCGCAGCATCGCACGTTCCATGGTAGCACGTCCGAGTGACAATAGAATCACTCTAAGCATGTCAAGTGACCTAGATCAGGTAAAAGCATGGAGGGCTTGCGCTGCCAGCAGAAAACCGTTGATGGTTTTCGAGGCCTCGGTCGGGTTTATGTTTGATTGTGAAAACTGGTATGGGTCACGTTTAGTCTGTGCCTTGGATTCTCCCCGCTAGCATTTCAGAATGATTCCGGGCATGCTTCGATTCCGGACATTTCCGGACCTCTTGTTACACTGGGGGTCTTTCTGTGGATTTCGTCGTTGTTGGCATCCGGTGGAACATGTTGAAGGGACGTCGCGCAAGTTGTCATCGCCCGTTTTCGCAAACACAGCTGTTGCCAGCGGCATATTAACTACTGTAGGAATCGTGATTGTCATTGTTGATGGAGGATGATGCAAAGCCACATCCCAAATTTAAGACCGTGTTATGCTCTTTGGCCGCACTGTCATGTGTGTTCAGCATCTCCAGTTCGCATGAGTTGTGTATCTGAGGCCAAGCCATGCGCGATTTGCATGGCCAGGCTCGGACATGTCGTCTCTGCTCGCGAGCACAGCAGTCGGCCCTGGACCAGTCCTGCACAACGTGCTTTGCTTGCCTCGAACCCGATATCAGGAGCCAGATATTCTGTACTTGGGATATTCAAAGGCAGCACCATGGCGCCGCATTTTGGACTCCACAAGCCAGAATCCAAAGCATATATATATATGCATTTCAGAACATGTACTTCTTGTAATGCTCGAATCGTGTCTGCAGCGAAGGAAAAGTCAGTGCCGTAGTACGAGAAGCAGAGTATCTCTGGACAACAGTTGCGTACGTGTTGTGGCCCACTGGCGCATCAGTGCTTTTGGGATCACTGCCTGGTGCCCTGGCAGCAGGTACCATGTGTAGACTGAGGCCTAAGCACCGGCCTCCAATATGCCGCTATCACCCGAAGGAGGTCAGACGACAAGCTCTACCGAGAAACTTGCAGAGACTGTCAGTGGTTGATTTTGACATCTGACCACAACACAAACAGATTACTTCGTGTCATTATCTTTCAGATATGTTATGGCTGTTTCCTGCCATGTCATTTTGGATCGCATGCTTCGCCTCAGCGTAAATGGGTGGAAAGAGTGACTGGCAACTCGCAGTGGAATGTCGATGCTCGTTGTCAGACACTCGTTCTTTGCCATATGGACGGGGCAGCCTGCTACGGCTAGCTGCCACCTCGTAGGGGCTCGAAGATCACGCGCCGCAGTTTGTGTTTGATTCTGCCCTCCGGCGGAGGGCGGAAACCTTTACTAAATCCGTCGCGGAGAGCGGAAACGTTGATTCCGTCCTCCAGTGGAGGGCAGAAACACCATCCAACACATCAAATTCTAATCAAGATTTTGAAACATCATTCCGAGGTCTTCGTCGCGTGACCCAAACCGACTCACAGGTACTTTGTTCGACATGCAAGTTCACTCAGCAGTTCCCAGATATGTGTAGCAGATGGGCCGAACATGGAATCAGCTGTTGTGGGTGCTTGTCTAAATAACTACCAGAACTACCGGACCGACTTTGCAATGCGCTTGTGTTGTTTCGCTGCTGATCTGCTAAGTCAACCAGCCTGTGGACAATTTCATCGCTGAGCACATGGCCGGCAACAAATTGCGAGCATTCGCTACAGTACCCAAAATAGCACCTCGCACTGTCTGACTGCCCGTTACAGTGTCGTGTGCTTGCTATGGGGTCATGTCGTTCCGGAAATTTTGTTCGTCGAGTGCTTATGGATTATGGAGATCCCAGAGATTCTACACGATTTTGACGTGTGATGTGTCTAGTCGCCGAGGTAAGCCAAGCAAGACCATGGAATGTGGAAAATGATGTCCTGCATTCCGACGACGTGGCAGCCCAGCGGCGATCTTGCAAACATCTTGCCTGCTAGGCATGCGCAGCTTAACGTAGGCGGATGTGTACCAGGCCGTATGCTATTTCATGCGCCATCTTGTGCACCTGCGGAATAAGGCCTGGGTGCAAAACCAACAGCTTGCTGCGGGGAAAAGCCGAAGGAAGTGTTGGGGATTTGACACCTGTAGGAAGGAGACAGCGGATGCTCTAAACGGAAGCATTGTGAGTGAATGCTGTGTGCGCTCGTGCCTTTCCGGCTGATGTAGCACTCCCGAGACACGAAGAGAGCAAAACTACAGGGCAGCCCTTACAGCCCTACAGCGCTACGACATGAAATGCACCTAATGCCTGGAGCTGCAGAGCTGACACCATCGAAAGAAGAATATGCACAGCACAAATTGATGAACTGCAGAGCTGCATTCAACGCTTTTTGTGGGTGGTGCTTGCAACGAAGCAAAACTTGTAAACAGTACCTCAGTTGCGGAGTATGTGAGGGAGAGGCTGCCGCTGCAGCCCTTTTTGCATTCGGTCGTGGAGACGCCGGATGCATGCGCACTTCTTGGAGGCCCTGGCTCCGCCCATGCGACTTTGTCGTAGACTGTTTTCTTGCATGCCATGAAAATGCTACAGGATGCGTTGCTGCCCGCTTTCATTTTGGACGCGGAGCTCCGCATTACAGCTCCATGCTAAGTCTGCCAGCATTGCCGTTGCTATAAGTTGCTGCATGTTGCTGCATGTACAAGAACCTGTAGTACGTCGATGGTCATCCGTTGTCAAGGGCGTGCAAGGACTACATTCCTCGCGTCTTGTGTCGCTTTGCGCTGAAGGCATGGAATACAGCGGCCGTTCAGGCACCCTGAAGTGCAGTGCAGTGAGTCGCAAGTAATGCCAGTGGATGCCCAAGAAGCAGACCGCGGTCAAAGCACAGAGTCTAGCGTCACAGGCCACTTCCCTGGCAGCTGGGGAGGCATCGAGCTTCGCTTTGTCACCGGGAGGTATTGTGAAGTTGTGTATCCAATTTCTGATCTGGTCGCTGATGTTACGGGCATCTGCTGCGCCAGGTCATTGGCAAATTCTTTGTTGACGTCTTGCTGGCGGAGGCCTTGTCATGGCTGTTGGATGCACCATTGCATTCTGGCCAACTTTGCATGTGCCTCACAGTCCTCCAAATCTGGAGAGGCAGACGCAAATGCTATTGCAGAGCTCCAGCTGGCCAAAACACTGCAGAGGCCGTGCATTGCTCACTGCCGCCTTTTCTGAAGACAGGGGTCATGGGTTTTTTGATCTGCCTTTAGCCGCAGTTGAAGCGGCGGATGTCGGCCCGAAGGTTCAGGAGTAGTTGCGAGTTGCAGATCAGCCTGCGAGTCCAATGCAGACTTCCAGGCGCTTGCGGCCTTGGCGAAGCAATGCCGGTGCGGTTGCATCTTTCCTTGCCTTGCCGGGTGAGCAGCCAGAGGAAGACTTGTACACGGACCCTACATCTTCGCCAGCCGCTTCTACTTCATGCTGGGCTCCAAACTATGAAGACCTTCTAGGTGTCCTCCTCTCTTCTGCAAATGCTGCAGTGCTCACTCCTGCTCTCCAGATCGCTGGTTTTTCGTCTCAGATGCCTTTGCAGATATCTGGATACGTGCAGCTGGATATGGCAGAAGCAGATCAGCCTGGTGCAACTGCCCTTGGAGAAGAGCTCGAGCCTGTCCCAGAGGCTGATGGCTCGAGCATTGTGTTGGATAGAGGCGATACAGGCCCCGTCCACGTCGAACGCCATGAGCATCAACAGTCTCCAGATCCTCCCGTGCATCACGGGAATGATGACATGATGGTGGCCGATATAGGACTGGCCATGATCTCTTCCGGACTGACAGTGATGCTTGCGATGATGGGTGCAGTCTGCGCCTTGCGGATTTGCCGTGAAATGTTGCGACGTCGTGGGACCGCCAGCGCAGCAAACGTGGTGGAAAGCGGGGTGCCAGAAGGCTCGGCACAGGCCTTTCGGCCCTTTGGAGGACAAGGCTACCGCTTGGTGTTGGAAGGCGATGTCAGCAAGCCGCCGACACCCCGGATGTCGCCGAGTGACCCGGATGTCAAGGAGGAGAAGCGCTCTGACAGGCAATTTCCCGAGACTGGCTTGCCAAATTTTGGAGCCGGTCTTGCCTCCCTTGATTCCTCTGACACTTGACTCGGACCAAAACGAGCCTGAGGAGTGTGAGCTTTGTAGCCACTTCCAGTCAGCTGTTCTTGGTTAGCAGTTCGACCATTGTGTTTCCTGTCACCAGGCCTTTCATCCATGTGGTGTTTCCTTCGCCCGGAGCATCGGCATCCAGGCCCAGATTTCATGTTAATGCGTCGCAAAAAACTGTTTGGTAGCTCCGTCACTGATTGAAGGCTACACTTGGTGGCCTGCCAGAGGCTCCCTAACTCGTTCGAGAGGTTTGTTGAATCGAAGCAAGTTCCTGGTTGTGGAATCAGGTTCTGTAGTTTCCATGATTGCTTGGTCGACATGAAGCCCTGCGAACGACATTCCAGGAACGGAGAATTTTCGGGATTCATTGGCTTCGCCATTTCCGGCGACGCAGAGCACCCCACTCGGCAAGTTTTGTGTGATAAGGGGTCAGGCTTTCGTCCTGCTCATCATGTGTCTGACGCCATGAGGTCCTCCAGCGCAAGAGTCCCTGCGGGGAATGTCGCAGCCCTGGCCTGGCAGCGGATGGCATCAAGAAAGACCCAAGTCAAGAGAATGCAGTGTCACATTGCAGCGGATGCAGGCGTTTGAGAAAGCCTTTGACCTTGTGGGAAGGCAGCTTTCCGAGCATGTCGAGTTGAGAGTGCAGTTGCTCCCAACAGCTTTGCGAAGGTCAAGCTGCGCCATGTGCAGCATTGGAGTATCAGGCAGGGCTACAATGACTAACCAGAGGGGCGCCGAGAGTGTGCTGCAAGCGATGCAGAAGTGGTAATTTACATCTGTTCAAGATAGTACATCCTGAGACAGTCTTCTCAGATCGTGCCGGCATTTCGCCAAACCTTTGCAGGGGAGATGTTGCGCTGCAATGCGGCAATGTCGGCCTTGCCCGCCACCAAAAGCAGGGAATGCCAGAAGTACTGCCAGCAAATCGCTTCCTGATGATTTTTTGCTTGGGCTCATGCAGGCCAGCGGTGCAACTGTTTCCATGCTCCAAATCCAGATTTCTTCGGCGTAGAATTGGCAAAAAATTACACGGCACGCAAGCAGCACATCAAACAGTAGACCTTCAGTGCCTGCAGTTGGCTTCGACGCTTCTTTGCGATCATGGGATATCATGGGGCTTTCTGCTTTTTCGGCATGGCAGCCATGGCATGAATCTGACCCGTGCCGGGCGAGGCTGAGGCGGATGGACGTGATGGGTTGACGGCCGATGCAAAGCTCACAGGCCTTGAGCATGCATGAGTTTCTGTAGCTTCCGGCTTACATCTGCTGAAGGGGCTTCAGATTGACAGCTCCTTTTGTACCAGGCATGGAGGATGGCCTCCTCCGCACTTTCCATGCCAGCTTGGCTGAGCCAGACCTGGCCCGTCGCAGAGAGGCGCAACCCGTGTGGGCTTGCGCCTTCCCTAGTCCCTGTTCCGAAAACCAGGTGGCACTGGCTGCACGCTGCCTCGACCGAAGCAGCCTTGGATACAAGGGCGTCGATGCCCTTGGCGAGGCAGATTGGTGCACGTCTTTGGGGTGGCGAGGCTGTCATGTGCAGGTTTCCTGGTCGGAGGCAGAGAGCCTCCTCGAGGTTCGCGCTGTAGCATTCAACCTCCGCACGTGCCACCCGCACCTGCACGCTTCCCAGGCTGACGTCTCCTTGCTCCGAGCGCGACTTGGCAGTTTGCTGTCGAAACATTCCAGAGTCTTCTTGGATGCCGAGCTCTCACAGTAGACGCTTCCTGTCCCATTCCAACCTTCTCGGCTCCGCTCCACCTCAACGGAAGCTAACTAGTGGGTTCACCGATGCGTAGGTGAGATGATTCAGATAATGTCATACCGGAGGCAGCTTGGTGCATCAGCCATCTGGGATCCAGATCTTTCCGCGAGGCTCAGGCGACTCCGACCGCACACGACGGGACGGACAATGGCAATGGGCAAGCAGCAAGCAATTTGCTTCAGGCGTTGGGCAGCGGGTGGCGCCCGTGCCATAGGAGCAGGCTTCTCGCAGGTGGGATCGCTTTGTTGCTGTATTATGGTGGTTCCGCACATTGCACGCTGAGTATTGACAGGTCCGGCTGCCTCTGCTGGGCGGGGTGTTAGAGGCTTCTGGAGCCGTGGAGGGCGATGGCTTGCAGATTCTCACAAACGAGGTAGGCAGCACTGGTGCTACATAACTTGTCTTAGCCATGCTGTTTCATCCAGAAAGGCGTGGAGCCGCGGAACTTCCGTGGCCCATGCCCCCCCCTCAGGAATTGGGCAAGACGTTGTCCTGGTAAACGGATGCTCGTGCTTGGACTGACCCGCAAGCTACAGGTTTGGGTCTATCGCTTTCGACGACCAACTGCGGCTGCAGCACACTTGAGCTACCACCCAGCGCTTGCAGCGGAGTCGTGTGGTTTGCGAGCAGCGCTGCTCTTCAGGTTGGGTCGGGGTAGTGCAGACATGGATGCACAGGGACAAGACGTTTCTGTGTTCGGAGTGGTATTGTAGCGTCGAGTGCAAGCTTCGGCCGCAGGGACCCAGCAACTGGAGCGCATCCAGATGCCAACGAAGTCGTGGAAGTCCAGGTGCCAAACTTAGAGCTATTTTACAGCCCGTAGCACTTCGCCGCTTCCTAGTCTCACCCTCTCTCTCTTTTTGTGTCCCCCTCGCCCGTTGCAAGCTGAACCCTTGCCTACTGTACTACAGGTTCTGCTCGCAACCACCTGCCGCGCTATCTCACCGCCATCAGGGCACAGGGGGGATGATGGGAGATCTTCGAATCGCGGCAGTGAGTCTTCATGCCGCGAGGTTGCCTTTACCCGCGGCTGCAGCCCCAACCTCCTTGGAGATGAGGAGCCGCGAAGCCCCGAAGTGTGAATCGGTCAGAGACGCATCTGTCAGGCTGCGGCAGCGAGCTCTGGAAGTAATGTCCGCGGAGGACGCGTCCATAAATCTGGGCCGCCACTGCAGCGAGAGGATGTCTTCTTTCAGGCCAGTGGCTATTCAGCTCTTGCCGACATCCTGCGCCGGGATTTGGCGGACTTGGCGGCTTCTTCGGGCGTCGAGGTCTCCTGCATCGTGGAGCGCCTGAATGACATTTCAACACTCGGGACGCTTCCCGCTGCAAAAAGGTTCCTGGTGATTCCTCCCTGCCGCACTTTGCTGTACGCCTGCATGACCTGCCAAACTTGGAGGAGGCACCGGAGGGCCCAGATAAGGTGCAGTATGAGGTAGTGCTTCTTTGTTGCACCCGGCCGAGAGGAAGAAGGTGCCTTGTCGACATTTAGCGCAAGACTTTCCGGGCAGGCTCGCTCTTCGGCAGGTGCACAGCCCCTGCAGTAGTAGAAGCAAGATTATGTTTTTCTCGGATTGGCCCAGGTATTTTTACCAGATCAGCTCCTCGATCACAGCAGCACAGGGCGAGCGTCGCTTGGTTGGGAGCAGATGTGGTTTTCCAGAGAGCTGCACATTGTGTCCTTGCTGTTGAGTCTTTGCTCAGGAACATCGGCGGCTGCCAGCCGACATCTCGAAACGGCAGCTCGTCCCAACTACGACGGGCTTCGTCAGAACGCCGTGTTTCAGGGGTGCCACAAGGGAATCCACCGTGATAGAAAGGCCGGAATGCCGGGCAGCAGAACGGGGTGCTGTCATCTTGACCCGTATTGCGAGCCTGACAATTGCTAGTAGTGGTTGGCAGGGTTGGATGTGCTGGATGATGCTGGCAGCTGATTCTTCCTGGCTGCGGCTAGGATGCTTCTGAGGCCACCGGCAGCGTCGGATGAGGCACTTCTCGAAGCCGCGACTTGGCAGCGCAGAGCCGCAGAGTAGAACTTGCCACCTGCTTTGCTGTTCTGCTCTGCTGCCCAGGATCTTGCAGCTGCGCTGGCTGCAGCTCAGCGCCTCCTCAAGCAGGATGTGAGCGAGGCGTGCGAAAGCTATCATTCTGGAATTCGAGCAGCTTGGAGTCCGGAGTTTGCTTCAGGTGGTGAAGAGCATGGATGGCATGGAGTCCCCCAGAGTCGGCCCAGCAGAACCTCCGATGCAGCCTGACCAGCTGGCTTTGCAGCAAGGACGACGACCGTATGATGCGAGTACTCTGCTCTTCAAGCTCGAACAAACATTGTTGTGGTCTTCTCAGCCACGTGTAGCCACAAAAGCCCATTCCCGTCATGACAGAAGCTGAGCTTCTCTTCCAGAGGACTCCTTCAGTTGGCACGTGGTCTGGATGCCAAAGCCCTTGTACATAGTGCCTGGACTCGCATGGGACACAAGCAAGCTGGGCTTCGTGCTTCCCCAGCCTCAGGTGGCGACAAAGTTCCCGTCAACTTGGCCGTCAATCCAGACTACACGGTGAATGTTAAGGCCAAGATGTAGCCCGGTTGCGGCAACACCGAGCCGAAGTGTCCGGAAAGTGTTGGCAGCTTGTGGAGGTTGCGGGGGAGTCTCGCGCCTTCCAGTTGACAAGCATCGATGAGGCGCATGCGCATGTGCATGAGATACTCCATGCTTCAGGCGTACCGACTTCCAACTCCAAGCTGCCAGTAGCTTCTATGTACATAGCTCGGGCATGTACTGTAACTTTCTCGGCCGACCCCCCAGCTCGGATGGAAGAGGGCAGGGTCATGCCTTGAGCTGTGTCCCCTCACAGTTCCCTTTTTTTCCTTCAGATTCCCCTGCAGCGCAACTTGGTCCATCAGCACTCCAGCTTTGTAGGATGGCTGTCTTGGCCTGAGCTTAGATCCCTGAATACCTTCTGGTAAACAGGATCCCGTCAAGCGAAATTCACCATTGGCCATTGTGAACGCATGGCCCAGCGAGTTTCAAGCGAACTGTAAAGAGGGATGCTTCCCAAATTGCGGAAAGAAAGACATACTTCCCGAACAGTTCTCCACCGGCGTGATCTTCCTCACGCCGTGAAGTGGATTACATGCTATTAAGTCTGGAGTCTGCAGTGAAGGGTTCATGGCACAGGTGGCCTGCGGAGAGGCGGCCGTAAGCGTGCTCCGCGGCTGTCTGAGCCGCCCTCCACCGAGCCGGGTCTGCGCATTGCGGCTGCATGATGGCAAATGCTCCCTGGCGGGAATTCGACTAGCTGCAGAGCAAAATCAGGAGCAGGCCAGCTCTTGACTTTGAAAAGTCACCCAATCCCACCTCGCAAAGACAAGGCCTGGCTCTCCTGCTGCCTTTGGAGGCTCGATAGCTCAGCTGTAGCAGTCTTGAAGTTTTTATCCTCCACATTCCTTCTGAGCCAGAGCCTGTCTTGTCAGCTCGTATTGTCCTTTCAGAATGCAACGGACGCCCACAAACCGGGCATGGTAGAGTTCGTGACTTCTTGAAACGATGTTTGACAAGACATTTCAGCATAGCTGCGACGTGCCGGAAGGTGGCCGATGTGATTGCTCTGTGCAGGTCTCCCCAGAAGTTTTCGTTCGCTGTCTCCTTGAGCTCCGCGAGGGTGCTGGTGCTGCAAACAGAGGCGGAGTGGATGATAGTTGAGAGAGATCCCGTGCAGGAAGGCAGGCCGCCCCTTGCTTCTTTGTACATGCTTTCGCTGTCAGGCAAGATGGTAACGCAGAGAAGCAGTGAAGGCCTTCCACTAAGCTGGCTGCGCCCTCTTTAGAACGTGTCTGGTCATGGCACTGCAGTCACGACGCAGGTGCCAGCTCAGTGTCAGAGGTGCTGAACACGCCCCGGGAGGCCAGAGAAAATTACTTCTGTCGTACGCATGAAATCGGACAAACCATTCTTGCCAGGATGCGATGCAGGTAATGGACAGACTAGATGCTGGCAGGCACTCGGTGTACCGCAAGTGATTACACACTACGTATTGCGGCAAGAGAACAGCTGGCCTTGCGAGCCAACAATACTTCTGAATGCTGTTTTGTAAGCGTGTCGCTGTATCGAGAACGTACCGAGACTGGCAGGCATAGCCCTGCCATTGGGGCCTCACAGCCGCGGCCTGAGTTGTGTCGTTCGAGGTAGTGGCTTACTGGGCAGGAAGGATATCCGACAGTAGCTGCAGACGCTGCGTGCACTACTGGGTGTGTTATTTCTGAAACAAAATATCAATCATTTTCCGTGCGCGGGGCTTCACCTAAACACATCCGTCATCGCACCCGTATCTGTGGTTGACAGCAGTGTTTTGCATTGCTTCATGGTTGCGTGCAGGCCACGCGGTTCAGTGGACACGCTGGCAGGCAACGCGGCAGCAGCTGTCCTAACAGCTATTCTTGTTCGTGATAGTCGTAGCTTGCATACTTGTGTTGGCACAAGGGAGTGTCTCACGAAAGCGATCACAGGACTGGGCTGCAGTGTTGGTTTACTAGTGGCTTTGAATGCACGGAACTTGAAATGGACAAATTTCAGTGGCTTGGTGCAGATGCTGGAACGTGTTGAAATTTATTGAATCACCTTGGCCACCACTCCCCCTCTAATGGCTACTATTGTTGCGATAACACCGTTGCCGCCGGCTACTGCTGCTCCTGGTATGCCAATGGCTGTTGCTTCCGCTGCCGTTGGCTCTCGCTTCTGCTTCTTCGCCACCTGTACCCCCGGCTGCAGTTTGCCCGTTCGGTTGGACTTCGAGCGAGGAAAGAAGGAGCCCAATTTGCATTTATTCACGATGAAATCAGATTTCTACACCCGAATATAGCCCAACTTATCGTAAAAATCAGCGGCTCAGGTCCGGGATCCACGGCTCAAGGCTAGGTGATGAAATCTTCCTTTCTTTCTTAATTCTGGCTGTTGTACCTGTTTTGGGACATGTGGACATGGAAACCAAGAGACCCTAGATTTTAAGACAACACTGCCGAATTAGCAGATGGTCTGCCTGTCTCCCGTCCAAATCCTGCTTTTTCGAGGATCAGGATGTCCTGCATCTTTTGTTTCGAAGATCTTCAATCTGACAAATGTCGACGAAAAGTTGCTCCAGAACAAGGACTTCAAAAGCGCAAACACACCAGCCAACCCCAGAACGCGGGCAATGCAGGGCTGTGTTAGTTCCCGGCTAGCTCGCTATTTTGCTATTGGCCAAGCTTGCTACCAACTAGCTGCTACCAAGCCCAATTAAAACATACGTATGTCAAAAGCCGGAGTTATTCGGCCGAAAATTAAGCCCGAACCCCTGCTGAGTTGTTGGGGCTGCAGGTCGCGATCGAGCACTACTGATAAACAACAACTTCAAGTTGCCTCTTCGGAACTCTTGCATGGTAGCTTTGGGAGTCTCCGAAAATTAGGGAGACCTTATTTGGGGGTCCTTATAATAAGGATCCTGCTATTTAGGGTACTATTTTAGGGTCCCCTATTTTCGGAAACCCCCATTTGTAGCAGACTTGAACCCTAGCACCAAAAGCTCGAGCATCCTAACCTGATACGGAAGCCCATAAATACCAAAAGCCCGACCCTTTTGGGTTTGTCTGGTTTACAGGTTTAAAAAAAGTTTGGAACATAAAGTCTCTCGCGCTGAAAGCAACAATGATGGGGACTGCTCATTGTCGTTTTTTGCGTTTTGGAGTCTCGGAAAACAAAGAGCCCTTGTAAACAAAAGAAGTAATTCGTACGATCCTTCTTGCAAAGACCCCTAAATCAGGGACCACTCAACTCGAGAAACCTCTTCCGAGACCTCCTTCCCTTCCACTGCTGCTCCTGTAGTGCTGCTGCTGTCCTGCTGCTGATGCCACTCCCACTGCTACTGCGCCCGTTACTGTACCGATGCCGCGACTTACGAATGCTACTGCTCTTGCTAGTCGTCTCTGCCAGTGCCCCGTGTCTTCTCAGTTGACATGTTTGAGGTTCAAGCTTTGTGGAGGAACCCCTGGCTGACACGCAGGAGTGGCCTGGCGATTTCTGTGTGGACTCGGACCTGCAAGACTGCCTATCCTTTAATGTCCAACAGGACTGCAGTCGTTTGTTTTTCGCAGTTATCATTAAGGGTTGAGTCACGTTGAGTCTGTCTCAGCCACAAAGGCTGGGCTTTCCGCACTCGTCGCTTCGGGCATCACCCGCAGCGACTCGCCATGGTAAATGCCTCTTCAACCTTTAGTTGGCAAGTCACCTCTCCCTGCCCGGTCGTCCACTCCATCAGTGAGTGGAGATCTTGAAGGGGCTCGAGAGGGGTTTGCAGACTTGCCCAGGTCTCTGGCCACCCCTCGTTTTGCCCCTGTTGTCACGGCGTCTGTCCATGTCCATGCGTCCATGCTGCTCCACTGCCAGGGCCTAGGGCCACCGTGTGACCAGGCAGTTTGCAAATCGGCGGTGGCACAGTGCCAGCAATGCCAGCTGGCTTCGCCTCAGGCAAATCGGCGGTTCTGCAGTGGCGGTTAATCTAATCTTTCTGGTCTTCGAGCATGACATGCTAGCGCCTTACTGAGATACAGGCGCGGTCCCTGAGTCCACCTCCTACGGTGCACCTCGCGCAGACAGTGGCCGCTGCACAGCTCACGGCACCATGTCTTGATGTTTTGGGTAGAGGCAGAAATCGCACCGATTCCTTTACGGCATGCTTAAGGGCCTTAGACCTTCCCGGGGCTTGGCCATGCTTTCTTGCCGCCGATAGTCTTCAGAAATCGTTACAGTGTCGACCTTCGCACGAAGACAGTGTTCCAAGTTTTAAGGCGCGACCATTGACTCCATTGCCGGCTCCAGTCCTTGCGCTTCCGTACGGAGCTGGGCAGCCAGCTGCAGCACTGCAAGTGCAGACGCTTCCCAGCCGCACCGTCGTTTCACGGCTGCACAGCTACCATTTCCAGGTCCTGGCTAAGTTATCTGCACATGATCATGGGTCATAATAGGCCAATTGGTGTCACACGTGCTGCGTTTGAAAGCTTTCAAGCAGCACGTCTCATGCTTCATCCTTGTTGTCGTGAGCTGTTCGGAGACACACATTGACCTCAGTACGGGGTTCAAAAAGTGGCGCTGCTTGATACCCTGATTCCTTGATTTAGGTGACGCAGAGCATGCCGCTGCAAATGCGTCCTGGCCAAACCGGCGAATGTTCAAGTTGAGGATTGTAAGCAAGGCCAAGCAGAAGAAGAATTTGCTGGGACGGCCGAGTAAGTGTGGTCCACCGGCAGTCTTCCTCGAGATCGGACTCAGGTGGGAATTTCGATTATTTGGTGCAATAAATGGGCCAAGCGCAAACCTTTTCTCGGTTTAAGGCTGATAATGAGGCATCGAGTTCAGAGCTGCCCCTTTGACACAATGCGTCCTCAGTCGGAGACGAAGAATACCAAATGGATGCCTCTTTTCAGGTCAGTGCTGGTCCCTCTTCTAGTGACGGGAGCTGCTAGTATACATGTTGGTCAGGATTAGCGGGAAAGGTTTCGGGCTTTGGATGATTCTCAGCCTTGGTACCTGAGTGCAGACTAGATCGAGGCCACAACGTGCATCAAACACTTGGACGCGGACAATTGTGTGACAGCCCCGGTTCGAAAATCTGCGGAGGGTAGATTTCCTGCGCCGCTGTGCTGCATTGTTCATAGATGCCAGGTTTCCGCCACGTCGGATGTCCGCGCCAGATGCACCCCTAATCAGGACTTTGATGCGGCAGATGTCAATGTCGGGAGCATTGTTGCCAGCCTTACTTGGAGTCGGAGGACAATGCCCGGGGCCGTGTACTTCCCTCAGCCCCTGC